GACAAAATCCGGTACGTCCAATCCTAGGTATCATTCGCGTCGGAACGAGGACCTCACCGACAAGACACACAACCAAGATGTATTCAAAGTTTGAAACGACAAGAGACGCCACTAACAAGTATTCAAAGCAATCATCTCACTCTATCTCATCTCTCTCTCTCTCTCTCCCCAGCGTAGAGGAAAGAAGAAAAAACTGAAAAAGGAAATAACCATCGCCACCGCCAAAGCAGCCCCCCACTGGAACCCAGAGTTGGAAGCAGGAGACACTCGTCCCGTTCCGGAGGCACGCCTTTTCATGACAACAAAGCACCTCCGACACTCTGACGTCAAGGTGCGGGGACGAGAGTCTCCCACGGAAGGAAGATATCACCACGGGCGACGCCAAGATCCCCACCCTCCAACGAGGGCGTACAAACAGAAAAGAGACGAGAAGAAAACACAAACACGGAGGAGCTCGAGGAACTGAAACTGGAGAGAAGCAGAGAGAAAGACGGGGGAGGCACCGAGAAGCATGCCTCGGTCTGCAGCGTGGAAGGGAGCAAAGGACGCGTAGTGCGGCCGTACGGACGAGCCAGAGACCGACCTTGTCCAAGGACGCCGAGTGGGAGAGCAACTTGGCCTCTGCCCCTCGCCCAAAGCAAAGATGGCGACCCTCTCCACGCCAGCAGAAGCCGCTCGGTGTTTGCTAGGAGCAGACGACCCTCCTCGTTCGCCCGTCCGACTTCCCCATATTTCCTACTCTACGGCTCTACGTCGGTTCTCCTCACCATGAAAATAAAAAAAAATTACGTTCGTTCAAGTGCTTATTGTACACCTACGGGCCTCAAATATATATATATATATATTTAAAAAAAAAGACCGGATTATATGTTTTTGTTAAAGCAGTAGAAAAATGAAACACAATCAGCTCAATGACCGGATAGAGGAAGGTATAAAGTTATATGGTCCGTGAGGGTATTTGCACTCAACATGAGCACCATCACGTTGCGCGACAAACATCAAAACCGTAGTCCATTTCTTGCCACACACAAGTGAACTGGTCGTCCCGTCTTATTGAAATCAAAGCTTCGAAAATTCGATATTTCAGAACTTGAATAGCATTATGCATAGGTCGGTGGACTTTTCGAGACTAACAACCTCCCACTATCTAGTGATGTGCGGAACGTGTTTCTGTCCTTTACAAATTGTTCCAAAAATAAAAATATATTAATCTTCTATTTATGTACTAGATCTTACGCCGTGCCACTGTTTGGAGGGCTTCGATTTCAGTCGGTTCGGCGCGCCCACTCAATCACACGCACAAAGTACTTTCCTCATATGCGACGTTTCCGTCGCCACGGCTCTTCGGAGTTTGAAAATAAATGCGAAGCGGAGCCGTCTCGCTTTCACCTGCGCTGTTCACACATTTCCCGTCCCATCTTCCTCACACGGCCGCTATTGCGTACGCGGGTTGGGATGTCGGACGACGCGAGGTTTCCAGAGGCGACTGGCGCACGTTCAAATCGAACGCGGGCCAAAGACCGGGCAGTTATTTTTTGTCAGAAAAGAAAATATATTCCCGCTACAGCTTTAATGAGAAATTCAATGAATGCTGGAAGCGCTCCAACAATTTTATGATCCGGCTCTCCAGCGCTCAAAACAGCAAAACCCATGACGTCAAAACTTTGATTTCCTCACGTCAATAACAACCGAGGAAGAGTTACACTGCACGGCGTCGCTTCTTTGAGCATTTTTTAGAGATAGCTATTTATGCCTCGAGTATCGTGGCACTTAGTAACCCATAAACGAGCTCCGCTCTTCGCCAATGCCGTCGTTTAAGGCGGCAAAAAAAAAAAAAAAAGAAACACGGCAAAGAACTGGCCGTTAGCTATGATTCTATCATAGCGACGATTCGGCTGGGCGAGGTTTTCTTCCCCGCCAATTTACGAGCTCGTCGACTCGCCACAGACAGAGAGCCTCAACAACGACTGAAAGGAAAAGTGAGCACGACGGGCAGAGAAAGGAGATATCCACGCCCGATAACCAGCTCCGAAGAAGAGGGGGTCCCCTTGTCGGCTCGGGACCCCTACGGCCGTACATTTGTTCCCTACTCCAAAGATGGCGGAGATAGCGGGCCAGACGAAAAACCACCGCCGACTCTCTCATTTGTTCCGACTCGCCTTTACAAACGCCACAATAGCCCGTCCGGCAGCTTTACATAACCATCGCAGACGCATTCTTTCCGAACGGATAATCAGCGCGGTCCCTAGCGCGTGATCGCCGCCGCCGCCGCCGCCGTCAGGGAAGGCAGGCCACAGCCGCTGCGGACGTTGCGTTGCGGTATGCAGAAAATCCTGTCCCCCTATCGGAGCCGACGATCCGAGAGAGGTGGGGTTTGTTTTGTGTACGTCTTTTTTTTTTTTTTTTCTTGTGCGGCGTTGCTCCTCACGCGAGCGGTGCGTTCGAGCGGAGCCGGTCAAAAACCGGAACGGAAGAAGAAAGTTGGATGGACAAACACAAAACGAAAGCGGGAGGAAGCGAAATCTTCGAGACGCCCACGCAAAACACTCCATCCGACGAGAGCGCCGCCTGGCACCGCGCGGGGCAGAACGCCAACGCGCCCCTTTTTTACGCGCGCGGAACACCAATCAGCCACACGGAGTCACCGCCCCCGCGGACGGATTAAAAAGGTCGGAGAAAACAGCTAGCCGCGAAGTACCAGACAAAACACGCCAGTCTTTAGAAGGACTAGAAATTTCAGCGCGGAAAAGGACAGTACCATTCTCATTTAATATAATGATCGTAAACACTAATAATCGCAGTCTAAAATTGCGTGTGTCCGAGCATTTGCGGATGATTCTCCCTCCTTCATTCTAAGAGACGGATACTCGGATTTAATTTAACGTTGCTGCGGCAATGTGAATCGGAAGCCTGCAGTTGCATTGCACGGTCACGCTTTAACTGCATTACACAAAAGACATCTTACGCGTTTTTCTTCCTTGCATGACGGCCCTGTCAATACAAGTAGGCTGTAAGGTGTTACCCTCTTCGATGTTCGCAAATGCACCAAGCTGAGCAGACGTTCATTCCCGATACATTCAATCATCGAAACGAAGCCTAGCCTGGTCTAGCTCCCGTTTGCGGAGAAGCAAACGGGACGACGAAACAACAACAGAAATAAGCTAAAAGAAGGAAACACAAAATCCCGGTGGGCAACTTTCTTCATCAGGAACCCCTTTCGGGCTCGTTCCGTTCTCTTGGTTTATTTTTAAACGACCGCAATTCTCGTCACAAAGGATGTAATGTGCAACATCATAATAGGCTCCGTGACAGCCGCAAGCGCACGAACGAGCGCGCGGGCGCGTTGGGAAGCGTTTTGCCCGGCGGTCGCTTAGCGCTCGTTTGCAGCGCCGAGTTTTCGTTGCGAAAAAGAAAAAAAGAGGCAGCCTTCATCCACACAAAAGGAGGCGTGACAAAAGTGAAAGGGGACGACGAAGACGGAGAAGCGTTAAAGACTCGAAGCACCTCGCAGCAGTCGACGGTGAAACGCGACAAGACACAAAAGAAAGATCGTTTAAAAAATAAAAACGCAAAAAATGAGACGCAGCCTCAAACAAGCTTGGCCTATATTGGAGAAACCCCGCGGGACAAATCTAGAATAAACGAGCCGCACGAGGTATATATAAAAAAAAAACAGTTAAGATCTAGGGCTAGGCCCAAGAAAAAGTGTCCCAACGGCAGTTGGAACACTAAAAACAAAAGGGGGGGGGGGGGGGGGGGGGGGGGTGGCACGTAGCGCTTTCGCAAAGCTCAATTTACTGATCCGACCGAAGTAGTAAGAAAAAACGAAACAAAATAAAACGATATAGCAGCAGTCGCCGGACGACAGAGCCGTCAAAAATCCCAACGCTGAGCTGACCAACGAGCCCTCAAGTGTCGTTTTCTTTTCGCTCCCGTGGAGAGAGCTCTAAGGCTCGCCGCCGGCATCCCAGGGCTGAGTGAGGCTCGGACATAATGAATATCCAGGAGCAAGCCCGCCACTTTATCCCTTGCCAGTCGTTCCCCGGGAAGATATTACGGGTATTAGTCAGCGCGGTGCCCTGCACGGGCGATCCGGCGGGATTGCTTGTTTGTTTGAAGCCAGCCAGCCTGACATGGGCTAAACAGCCTCCGCTAACATAAAAGCTAAGCAGACCACAGATAGAAAAAGAAAAAAAAAAGAATTAAAAGAGGGGGGAAGCGAATGAAAGAGACATGAGGGGAGCACCCCTAACGAACAAAGTGGGGGGATCGCCCAAAAAGACACGTCGTCGCAGATGCCGAAACGTCCGCTCCAATGACCCCCAGAGGCAAGGAACGCCAGAGATGGCCCGTTGGGGAATGTCCGTCCATTGAGTCTGGCGAGGCTCGCCTGCTGTATTTCAACTATTTCAACTATAATTCGTTTCGTACCCGTAGTACGGCGTTGCCTACTACAACGCTGCCGAAAACCACTGGCGAAAGCATGGGTGTTCATATTCGGCATTAGATTTTCACGCACTCGCGCGCTAATGAGGCGCTAGATATATAAAGTGACCCGCTCGCACTAGTAGGTTTGCCATCGTGGTATGAAATGGAGGATAACTGGATCGTTTCGTGACAGTTTGGAACGTGTGAATAAAATCTACGTGATCTTCCCTCGATCGCAATCGATCGTAGCGATATATCGTGCAGTGATCGCCGCGCAAACTATCGCGAAAAAGAGAATAGCAAACAAGTGATCACATTTAACCGCCAGTCCGGACAAAAGAAAGAAAGTTTTGGCGCGCAGGCTACGAGCAGAGACGACAAAGCGGTCCCCACATAAAGAAAGTCGGGTGGCCCCCCCTCAACAGCGTGCAGCTGGCGGTACCCTTCAAAACCAAAACATGCCCAAGGCGGAGCAGCGTTCCTCGGCAGGACTTCGATCGCCGCGTGTAAAACGTTCACGGATTAAGCTAGAGCCTACAACAAAACTCAGAAGAGCATCGAGAACCACTTACCCCTCTTGAGCTTCGTTGTCGTCGGACTAGCCGTCGTCATTCCAGCCGAAACGTCGTTGAAACGTCGCACCGGCGCATCCAAGAGTAGCCCAGCGCGAACTTCCGAACTGAGCGCCATAGCGTCTTCACGCGCACTAGTTCCGCCGGCTCTCGCCTGCCGGTGCGGCGGCGGTAGCGGCGGCGCCACCGTCGACGCCTGTCCTTGCGGACCTGGTGGAGCGACCGACGTTACACCGGAGGTTTCCGGCGGTAGCCGCCAGAGGCGCACGAGCTCGGGAGGGTCTGGGGAGCGCCGACGAAAGAACCGCATCCTGCCTGGTTGACTGGGGGGCGGCGTCAACGCTGGCGCTTTGTTTCACCCCGTCGTTGGTTTTTCCTAGCTTTTTCTGGGGGTCGGCAGCCCGGGGTCACGGCCGTGGGTGCACCTGTTCCCGGACGGGTTCTGGGAAGGCCCAGTTCATGTCTGGTGCTTGAGGGGGTTTCTGCAAGCGAAGGAAAACAGTCCTTGAGTTCAACGTGTTGCGGCTTAATTTAATTATTTATTTTTTGGGGGGAGGGGTATTTAGCATAGAAAATTTGAATACACATCAAGCCTTCAATTTGATTCTGAGTCTTAGGAAACTCTAGGAAGGCGGGACATATCCTTTCTGTTTAAAGCAAAAAACGCAAAAAAAAAAGAGAAGAAATATATATATAAACGATGCAGCTGGTCAAGGGAGCAAAAAAAATAGAGAGAAAAGTAGGTTCAAACGATCGAGACCGAAATAAGGGGAAAAGACAGTGTTCGCGGCAAGCACCAAAGAGGGCCCAAATTCAGAAATGGGCCTCAACACTTTTGAAACGTGATTGCTTTTGGGGCGGCTCCTTTTATACTATGACCATCGAGAAACTACGTACAGCAAGTGAAACAACCATATTCGTGCATTATGAATAACTTTAAAAAAAAGGCGCGATTATGTGAATGAAAATTTATTCGAGGACATGTATCTGAGCGTCATCACCACACGACTGAAAACAACTTGCAAGTCTGCAGAACTTTTTCCGACCAACCGCGCTTAGTAACAGATCCATACACTGCGATACAAATTGCAATGGTCTTTGACGAGATATCAAAGGAAATGCAAGAGTTTACGGATATATCGCCTATCTGCTTGTACACGAAAGTGACACATAACTCCAATGTTTGTGGTCGAAACGCCAAAGTGACAAGAACAATATTCGTCTAGATTTCCTCGATGCTCGACCATGTCAATGTTACGATAGTGAGGCTCAGAGTTTGTTTGAGAGCTCTCAAGGGCACATTGACAATCGGCAATATCGAGCATGTCTATACGTAACAAAGCGTTTTTTCTATTTCTATTGAACATGCGAATATCAAACATTGGGCCTTGAAGCCCCCATCAGATAGAGCGTATCAGAGCTAATTTGACCTTATCTATCTACAAACGCAACCACAAACCAAACTAATAATCATGGGTGTACCACCAACCCGGGGGGGGGGAGGGGGGGGGGGGCAAGGGGGGCGCTGCCCCCTTTAGTTCTCAGAGGGGGGGCGGGGGGGGGGCAAGGCATGTGCTTTGCCCCCCCCCCCCCCCCCCCCCCCGAAACAGCCACCACTGGGCAGGGCAAACTCTGGCGGGCGGCGCCCAAGGGATACCAAGGACACCGGTCCCTGGCCCTGGGGAGGGGGTCTGACTTGCCAACCCCCCCCCCCCCCCAACTCAAAAACAAGTTGGTACGCCACTGTTAATAAACCAATACCGTAGAGCATTGAAGCCGCGGTGGTTTCTCCCCAGTCGGATGTCGGCCACGGAATTGTTGCCGTTTTACCCTGTTCCAAATAAACGCGCACATTTACATCAAGGACAGTTGTTGGCGAAATATCTTTGAACCGGGGTAGACAGAATGCGAAGAAGCCTTAGAGATTAATCGCAGTGCCAGTGTAGCGCAGCAACAGCCCAATCGAGCAACATCGGTTGTCGCTGTTCCTTTAACGGGAAGCGCCCGGTTGGTTCCGAACAGGGATGGGCAGTATTTCGAATACAAGTATTTGAAATACGTATTTCAAATACTTTGTGTATTTTGCATTTGTATTTAATTACAAATTGGGTGATGTATTTGACGTGTGTATTTAAATACTAAAACGTGGGTATTTCAAATACAATTGTAATTAAATGCAATTTTGTGGGCGAAAATATATCCCTCAAATTTATTGTCACTGTCCAGAGCAGGAAGAAAACTACGTTCTGCACTGAATGCAGTGTCTCTCAATCAAGCACAAGCGTTTAGTGACTTTGTGATTACGGTGCTAGTCCAGGGCAAGAATAGTGACGAAATTGTGGTGGTGCTTTCCAGCCTAATTTCCATCCATATTTTTGCATAGAACATTCTAAATGCGCGGGTCGTCCAGATTTTCGTAACTGGTGCGAGTTGCAACTATAAAAAATTCTCTAGCTAGTGCTGCGCGTCTTGGTCGTCTCGGTTCCTTTTTGGTCTATACCAAAATGTAATCGACAAAAAAAGCTGCTTGAAGCTCTGTACTTTTTTCACCTATCACGTCCAAGCTGATTACATTTTTTGTGATTATATTTCTATTACGTTACTAGGGCCTCGCACACCAACTCCCGAGAGTGCGATGCAAAATTAAAATGAGATACCCAGAAACCCGTTGCAGCTGCCTTGAAGTTGCTGACGAAAATATTGAGGAATGTATTTGAAAAAGTATTTGGAGGACACCAAATACATTTGGTAGTATTTGTATCTTGTAATTAAATGTTTTTTTCGAAATATAATTAGATTTGTAATTAAATACATTTTGATGAAGTATTTTGTATTTGTATTTCGATACATATTTGCATGTATTTTGCCCATCCCTGGTTCCGAATATTCCTCGCCGAACACATTAGTTCCCGATAAGACATGGGCCGAGTTCACACCATCGCTGACGAAGCCCTGTACGTGGTGTCCAATGAACATACAGAGTATATTCTCCCGAACAACGCCAGATCCGCATAATTGTCGCATTATCTACCACATGGAGCGCTCTTTTGAAAATGGTTTATTGCCATCCCAGTGGAAAGGTGCTTCTCATGGGCTTGAGCTGCATCATCGAGTTTTGTTTATTGTATTTTTTTTCTTACGAGGTGTGGGAAAACGAAGGACTTCCGTTCTTGGCAGACTGTATACAAAAACAATTATAGGCAGGCCCGGTGAACAACGGACGCCGCCGTTGAATGTCCCAAATGACTTGGGGAAACTTTCCTGTTAGATACTTCCTGGTTCGCCAGCGTGGAATAAAGGTTGATCCATTATGAAGTGCGGCCCGCCTGAATAATGAGCACTCTAGCTTCCAAGTGCGTTCCTCTAGGTTTAGTTATTTTGGGCTGCCTCACATTTGTGCGGATTATTCTTGTGCGTGCACTTCCGTTGAAAGTCCTAATTGGGAGGACGATTGTATGGCCCATCGAAAACGCTTGATTGATTAAACGGTTGATTGAGTGAGGCTTAGCGGCGCAATAAAAGGTAGATTTACGGTGCGACAAGTGCAGCATACTATTGCCGAAAGTCTTCTATAATACGGAAGCGATGATTCTTGTTTGATTGCAAACTGTGTTGAACTAAAGATTATAGGGGAGAGGATAAGATCATTGAAAAGCTATTCGAGATGGTCACCAGGTAAAGGCGAAGTCATTAAACTGGTCGGTGAACTGTGCAGAATGTGGAAATTAAAAATTCTTGCAGTGATTATAGCGTTGTGAACGTGAGGCAAATGGTCTTTCCGGTCGTAATTGGTCATATTTGAAACATTTAATCGAACGTGTCGTGACGAGAAAATATAAGCGAGAAAAACTGAAATAACAGAGTAAAGCAATCTGGAAAACTGCTGTCCGTGTCGAAATGATAAAATAATCAATCAGGATTTCCAAGAAGTGACTGGGCGTTTTCTGGCCCCTGCGGAGGCGCAAAAAACAAACTGTGCCTTGAACTCAGTAAATGCGCGACTTAATTTACAAATTGAATGAATGCATTCTGGGGTTAACCGAAAACGGATCATCAACAAGGAAATATTCCGAATTTAGATGAGTGGACCAGCTTGAACTTGGGAGACGAAATGCACCAAGTAGCTCAACTCAAGCCCGTAACTCAGAAGAGTGGGCTGATATGCCACACGATGTGCACCGACCAACAATAAAAATGTTCAACACGTCTACCAGAGAGGCTTTACCGAACTCCCAAGGTGACCCTCTGCCAAGCCTGGTGGCCTGAAATCACTGGTGGCCTGAAATCACCATTTGCGACTTCGTCTATTCAACCATATAAGTTACAATTAATGAAATATATTCATAACCGTGATCCAATGTCGGTAAACATTTATAGCAACTTAAGGCAGTCACTCACATACTCACAGTATTCTGCGAGACAATCTCCTCTCAAGAACACTTGTCAGTGCACCGAGCGCAATATTGCGTCCAGCCCGATGAACCGTTCCCCGCACACTGCATGCAGCAGAGACACTGCGGCAGAAACGCCTCCTTCAAGATATACCAAAGCTGAGTTTAAAAAAAGTAAGCAGTTTTCCTTTCTTTCGTGGGTATCGCATAACAAAGACAGAAACGACAATGTAAGAGAGAAAGAGAGAAAAGAAAAAACCTGCGCGTCTGTATTTCCCCTTCGATAATGATGCGCGCTGAACTGGCAGATACTGTCGGACAGAAGCCGAGGGGGGCGTCGGCTGCCAGACGGAGAGCCTTATCAGCGGAGCACGTCGATCGCGGGTGCATCGGCCGAACCCCAGCGCGGCAACCGATACTGCGTCAGCGGGGGCTTTCAGCGGCGACTAACGCAAGCCGCGAAGACATCGATCCCCCGCAATTGTTTATCGTTTTCGGAATACAAGTGACAACAACACTCCCAAACTGTCCGTGAACTCGTGGAACGAATGCAAAAGCATACACCATATGTACAGTCGGGAGCAAAAGTTTGCGGGGCACGGGAGCGCCAGCCGAAAAGACTGGCTGCGCCTTCTCACGGCGCGTTGCAGCTCTCAAGACTCACGCTTTGCGCATGCGCTTCCTTTCTTGTTCGCAGTCATGCTTTTTTCGCTCGCTTCCGTTCGACGCCCACGAGATAACAGGGACTGGCGCAAGGTGCCGCGAAACGTTATCTGTAGCAGTCGCGAGCTCCGTCACCCATTACGGTGGCTGAGGCCGACGCGCGGAATGATGACTGTCATAGCGGCACCTTGCGCCGGTCCCGGTTATCTCGTGCCCGTCGGGCGGAAGAGACCAAAAAAGACAAGACTTCGAGCACGAAAGGAAGCACATTCTCGAAGCATAATTCTTGAGAGCGGTCGCGCGCCGTCAGAAGGCGCAACCAGTCGTTTCGGCTGACGCTCCCGCGCCCCGCAAACTTTTGCCGCCGACTGTACATACGCGCGGCGCAGTGTCAAGATGTTTACGTTTTTCAACGCAAAAGAAGAGAACAAATACGCGTTTGGTTTTCAAGGTAAACTGCAGTTTAGGTAGCTAAAAGCCGACGATCACATGGTGTCTTATGACAGCGACGTATTTAAAATATGTATTAGAACGACAGGCGGCTGGGGAAAGTTAAACAGCGCTCCTCAACTTAGCGCCGGCACTCGGTAGACCAAATATTGATTCACTGAAATTGTCTACTCTAAACTATATTGGTCACTACAGTAGCTGGGATGTCTTTTTCTGACTGGGTTGATCTAATCGGAGAGTAAAACCTTTACTACGTGGTTTGACCTGTAGGCACAGGAATAGCCCAGAATGTGCCAGGAAGCGGACCATCTCGCGAGGGTGTGAATTTTGAGGAGTATAAGTACATTGAAAGCTTTCCCCGAACAATTGAATTACACTGTTACCGCGTGAAATAGATACCGCGGAACGTAAAAGGGTTGAACAAGAAGAAGCCAGTTAAGGCAATTTTGGGGTAATAAAGAAGAGTTCAAGTTTTATTTTAAAAATTAGAAGTCATATTTCGTAATACGGAAGCCACGGTTCACCAAAAACAAAACGATTAAATAAATAGCTGTCTATCACTACACGAAAAGGGCAGAAAAAAAAAAAAAAAAAAGACTTAAGCAGAAGCCAGTTTGCTCGGCAAAACCTCGAGGTTGATTTTGCTCTCCCGATAATTTCTTTTCAGACAAACAAAAACCGCCTCAAGAAGCACTCCTCACGGGCACTGACTTTTGGAATAAGTAACCATTCTACCCCTGACCAATGGACCCCACGTGAGAGCGTGCATGCGGAACGGACAGTTTGAGAAGAAATATGATTGCAGCGGTTTTTTTTTTTAGCCGGAATTTAAATAGCTGCATTATGACTTATACCTAGGCTCGGAACTGTTTTTCTCTTCATTTCTCACCGATGAAAGATGGTGCGGTTTGCATTTTAGATTATCCGCTCGACGTCACAAGGCGATTAGAAATGGGTACTCGCTACTTACACTGAGCAAATGACGAAGATTCTGCGCATAGCAGCGACTTCGAATAAGTCCGCAATAATGTAGCTTGTCACACCGTGTTTTCGCCGTCGTCAATAATTGCGGTGGATGTAAGATTTACATATTTCGAGCTGGTGTCTTCTTCCACCGCGCATCCATTGAGCCAGAGTTCCTTCCCTTTCTGGTCTCCCTCCGACCCTCTTTGAATGCCAGTGCTCTTCTACATTTGCATGCCACCCAGGCTATGTAGTTAGTACGATTCAATTGATGGCGCCGCACGAAAACTGGGTACTTAATACGACAGCAACACGCACTTTAAAATATATTCTGAGCGATACAAATTAATCTTAAGGGTCACTCCGTGTGTATGTATTCGATTGTTTCTCTAAAACTGATTTCGAAAATGATGATGTGTCATCATCACGTGCGAATAAGACGTACAATTATCTCAGTATATTGATAAATGTGGTATTAATGAAGCGTCTTTCGCGCATGAGAATATTATTTTTTCTTGACATTTTATAAATGATATTTTTTCTCCATTTACTCAACAACTATTTCTACTAAAAGATATTCGATAGAGCAAATTAAAATTGTCTAGCATTAGGGTTTGACTTCTGTTGATTTTCTTCCTTTTATGTGTGTTGTGGTTGTCAGACTCGAGCACAGGACGTATCGCGCATTCGAGTATTATACGTTCGGATACCTGTTTCACCTGGACTCCCGGGTTTTCGGGGCCAAGATTTCAAGCGCATACGAGTGCAACAAAAATTGCCACCTTCACGCCTTTGAAACCTTCTGGTTACGCTCTATAAACTAAACAGCTCGGCTATAATTCTGGCCTTGTTTATATATATATATATATATATATATATATATATATATTCTTAGGACTTTCGAAAACCCGCCATTACCAATATGTCACCGGTTGCGCAAGCATTTTACTTTCCGCCGCTGTTCCGCCACTAGCGTTAAGGAAAACTCTTGAATGTAACAAGAAAGTTGGCGCACTCGCTCTTGAGAAGTGCTGTTATATGTGATGTTTTCTTGCGTTGTTTTCGTGCGTAATGCTCCGGCTTAACAATCGTGCTTGAGTTGCTCGTTTCCGCTTTACCATTTCGTTGCCTTGTTGGCATTTACGCCAATTTGCCAGGTATTTGAGCCGGTATGTACCTTGGTATCACTTGCGCCAGTTCGGTTGTAGCTCCTACGAAAAATTCTAAGGGTGTGTTACGTTTTTATATGGAGAGGAAAGTTTGATTAGACTATTATATAGTAATATATATAAAACCTAAATGCCCGTCTTTGCATTACATAAAGGAAGTGTGTGTGCGTGCGGGGGGGGGGGGGGGGGCGGGGTAATGTAAGGAATTACACAACAAAACGTACTAGCAGAAGAAAACAAAAAGTACAGAAAACATAATATTATCAATCAGCCCAACTCTGAATATCGGTTCTCTTTCCATATAGGGCTCGCATTTCCGGGTAAGGCGCAGGCTTACATCTCTGAGACACCCTCAGAAACTAATTGCGATAGATATATTGTAGAACAGTCATTCGTTCGAGCACAACGAAGAAAAGGCGGAAGTCGTTCGAGGACAGTGTCGCTGACAAAGGAACCCACGTCAAGCCCTCTCGTCTCAATTGTGAGATCTAAGCTCAGATCCAGATGTTGTTAACAGAAATGTAGACGGCTGCTATCACGGTTGCTACCAAGTTCAATGTGCGATATCACTGCAATTCAGGAATTTTAAGCTTGTTGATGAAAGCCCCCCCTGTCGTAAGGTGTGTGCTGAGCCACGGACGCTTGGGGGAAGAGTCAAGGAGTGAGTACTCATCTAGTCCCAATGGCGCAGTCTAATTGGGCGATTTTGCGCTGAATGGAAGTTCGCGGAGGTTAGCTCAGCTTTGAACTGCCAGACGCGTATCCCAACAGAAAAAAAAAAAAAAAAAAAAAAAAAAAAAACTTATATAAGTTTAAATTTATTGGTTTAATCAGTGAGCAGTTGAACGACCTCCGTTGTAAGACGGAAAGCGTGAGCCACTATCACACGAATATTTAAATACTCGTCCCTTGGTTTCTCCGAAATCTCAACATCTGCTAACTCGCGGCTTCAGCCAACTCTATGCGTACTTCTCTAAAACAAAACTAAATAAATAAAAAAAAGAGAAGAAGAGCGGTGGCCTTATTTTAAAGTTATCTATCTGCAGTTCAAATACAAGTGGGCGTAGTTCCGGGTCGCCTGACAGGGGGGGGGGGGGGGGGGGGGTCATCAGGCAGGCTATGACAGCCCAGTTCGGAACGACAACGTATTTTCCTTGATATCACAATTATTTTGTCAAGTTTAACGCACTCCGATTTCCCCATTCATTTCGAAGCATGCAAGTGGCGTATCCTGACCACCTCTAACTTATAGCAAGTATATGACAATCGACCAGAGAGTCTGATACAACTCTCCAATGAAACCACCAGACTGCAGACCAGACTAGACTAACGACTGCAGACTATGGCGTTCAGTGGTTTTGGCCAACGGACAGCTCAACGGCGCTCCCCCACCCCACACCAGGTGGCAATTCGGCTGAAACCAGACGCGCCGTAGGGTAAACGGGGGGCCACGTGTTTAGCTCCGCGGCCCCCTCGCAGCGAGTGAGAGGTTCGCTGGCTGTTCCTCGGACAGGAGGAGTGAGGCGCTTCGGTGATGCTGCCGCCTTTTTTGTTTGTGCTTCAGCCACCACACACAGGCGTGGTCTCCCCGCACCGGTCCTGAATAATGGAGGGCACCAATTCTATTACTCGTTCCCGCTTTTCGGCAGCTTCCTCCTGGTCGCTCGTCCAGTTCGCCGGGGAAAGTGAAACGACGCCATCTTGTTATTGCGAACATACGACGTGGCTATCACAAACGACACGATCGGTGCGCTTCCTGGATGATCCGTTCGACCCAACTTCCCGTTTTTACGACGACGGCCGTTGCATGCACCAACACGCAAGTCCGCGTTTGCC